CACTGGTCCCAATGCCCGGGTCGGGCGGTACACTCAGGTAGCAGTCACCCTCAACACTAATAGTCAATGCATACATGGCACCAAGGATAGCATCAAAGTCAAGAGCAAAGATATCAATGTTCTTCCTAAGCAGATCAGCCTAGCGGGGCAGCTCAGTGGCGTCAGGAAACTGCTCACGCCAGGCGTCGTCGAGACGAAAGAAGCAGCGCTGCGCCGTGTGGAACCTCCCACAGGTCTGGCCAGTGCGGTCACCTGTGCGGATGACGTACGGGTAGGTACCTCCACCCCCAGACCCCCCACGCTGAGAGTACCACTCACGGAGCTGCTGGGGCGAGGGAGTCTCGCCGGGACGCTGCTGCTGCTGCCTCTGGCCACCGCCGAACCCCCCACGCTGCATCGCTCCACCGCGCCCGCCACCAGCTCCACCGCCGCCACCACTGCCACCACCACCCCCACCACCCCCACCACCTCCGCCGCCACCACCCCCTGTGCCGCCACTGACCCCCCCACCACCCGCGCCACTCCCACCTCCGCCACCACCCCCGCCCCCCCCACCCCCTCCACCGCCGCCGCCCCCGCCGCCACCTCCGCCACCCCTGCCCCCCTTGCCCCTGCCGCCCTTGCGCCTCCCACTAGGAGCAGACGCAGCCCCGACCCCCTCAGCACCGAGGTAGTCGACAGCAGCAGCAGATGCAATGGAGGGGAGGAGGGGGGAGGGGGAGCACCCCTCAAAGAAGGGAGAGCGGGGGTCGCCACGAGAGGCACCTACAGCTACAATGCTCTTCTCAGCTGCTAGGAGTTCCTTCTCGAGGAGGTCGACAGTGAGGTCAGTGGGGGAGAGGGCGAGAAACTGGTCCCTGACAGTGCGAAGGGAGTCAGGGAGGCGGGTGACTAGGTGGTAGAGTGTGAGGTACATCGGGGGAGGGTTCTTGGCGAGAAAATCGGGGGGGAGCGCGGCACGGTAGCGGAGGTCACTAGTACGGAGGTGAGTGATGTTGTCAGCTACAGTGGCAAAGGCGGACAGATCGGGGAAGAGGTAGGGCAGTGAGAGACGGCCTATCGCAGCAGTGGCAGGGGAGGAGTAGCGCGCAACTACAGCATCGTACAGCTCCTTAGCGGTCTTATGCTGGCCGGAGTGTTCGCGCTCATCTAACGGCAGGTGGCTGCGAACGGCTAGGCGAGCGTGAGCATCACGGGTCTGCCACTGTGAGCGAGCAGTGCTGTCAGCAGTAGTGGCAGGTGCGGGAGCGGCGCCTGACGTGTGGTCATACAGGGAGACATCGTCCTTGGCAGTGATCTGGAGGAACAGGTGCAGGTCATCTAACCAAACCTCAAACTTAATCGGGCGGCCCTCAGCGTCAAAAGTGAGAACAGTAGGACTGGCCATAGTGGCAGTAGCAGCAGTAGGAACAGTAGCAGTAGTAGCAGTAGCAGTAACAGTAGCAGCTGAAGCAGTAGGAGCAGTTCTATCAGCAGGAACAGGAACAGGAGTAGCTGCAGGTGGGGCACAGTAGGGCGGCGCGGCTCGGCCAGGGCGGCGCGGCTCGGTTCGGGCGGCGCGGCTCGGTTCGGGCGGCGCGGCTCGGCTCGGACTGGGCTACGCGGCACTGCGCGACGGTGGGCGTGCGCGTGGGCGGCTATAGCGGGCGGGCCGCGGCTGTGCATGGGCCTGACTTGCGCGCGGACGGCGGCCTAGAGGGAGCGACGCGGCGGCCTACGGGCGGGGCTGCGACGCTCTGGGCGGCCAGGACGGCCGGTCGACGGGCGGCTAGCGGGCTGCTCGTGGGCGGCGCTGGTCGCGCGGGCGGCTAGTGGTCGGCGCGCGCGCAGAAAAGGCCGCGCGCGGGCTGCTAGCGGGCTACGCGCGCTAAAAAAAAAGGCCGCGCGCGGCACTAGCGAGCTGCGCACGGGCAGCAGGAGAAGGAAAGGCGCACGAGGGCGCACTAGGAGAGAGGCGCTCGAGGGCGCTACGTCATTAAGGCGCTCGAGGGCACTTCTAGCGGAAAAGGTGGGCCCTTAGGTAAGCGTTCCTAGGTCTAACCTACGCTCTTAATACCATGTCAGAAACAAGAAGTGTTGAATTAGAAACATGTGGGAGTACAAGTATGAAACCCTAGAGAAATGTACCCCCTAAAGGCTAACCCACTGTAGCCTACACAGCAGTATCATATATAATGTTTGACAATTCGGGCAATTCGCGTGTCGTCTCTCCTCGTCCACCGATATTTTCGGACGCAAACTCCATTTGCGCCTGGCGAGTTCTCCAGCCGACTTTTTCTCCACAGTAGCTCCGAAATTATTGCCACAGTGACGCATATCCCTCGTCGCCAGCTGCCGAGCCACACTCCGTGAGTCACGCGCGCAAAATGACGACGAGCCACCGTTGTCACTTGCCGCATGGGACGGCTCCGAAGTTGTCGCGCAACTGTTGACTCGGGTCCAACGTCGTCAACTGCAATACACGCTGACGACTTCCGCGAATTTCGTGCAGGTGCCGACGCAGGTCCGCTGACGCCAACTGCCTCACAAAGTTTCGCAATCGTCGTTAAAACCGCAGCGGAATAGTAACTCACGTTTAATGTCGCGACAGCTACAGCTGTCCGTTGCCCGGGGGGAGGGAGGCCACGGTCGATCGCGACCGTTCGAGGCAAGGATCTGGCGGTGCCGAAGGAGTGCCCGTAAAAACATAGCCGCGAGGAGTAACTAACTCGTTCTCCTGGCCGGCCTACGCAACTCCTGGACCCCAAGACATCCTTCCTCGTCCCCCCCCCGAGGGGTATTACACTCTACAAAGCGGGGTGAGCTAGGAAAGTAGCTCTGATACCAGGTGTTATGAATGAACTTGCAGAGTGCGCAGAATATCGAATAACGAGAATGAAAATTACAGAATTACTGAATGAAGAAACAATGATGTAGCGAGGCCTAAATAGGGGAAAAGCTAGCTAGGCGGGGGGTTCGGAATGGGATGGCTCGGTGATGGTTGCGATTGGAGCGGAGGCCGACTCGGGGGTGGTTCAGTGCGACGAAATAGGCCCAACAGGTTCGTCGCGTGACCCTCGGGATGGCCTCGCTAACGAGTGCCTCAGTAAGGATTTGTAAATCCTTACATATTTGTAGGTCACTTTGTTACAAGAGTGACCTGTTCCAAACCCTAGAAGTGCCTATAATGCATTTAGTGATTTTCTTACAAAGTTACATTCTGTACTTGATATTTGTTACGGTATTTCGTTGATTCGCAGCTCACGCCCACAGCGCCTGCCAACACCACACACATTCGGCCTAGCGAACAGGTACATTGAGACGGTTTCCCGATGCACATCGCTGTCAAACTGCTCTCTGCCTGTCGCTTTTTTCGACCAGAACATCCACCCTGACGAAACTCTTGCTTGCAGGATTCAAGGCGAGAACAGGGAATCAGTGATTCCTTCTTATATTCGCTTTCGCGCCTCGCGTTTGAAATGTATTGGTTAGTTTTAGCGACGATGACGGCCCGAGATTACTGGGCTGTCGCTATCGCACTGCCCTCGACGCTTTGCCACCGCTCGGCAATCCCAAGGCGGCTGGCACCCTCTGAACGTCGCTCTTGTCGTACTAGGACCTCCAGTCCCACGCATTCTTTAAGTGACGCAAAGTCATCACCACCCTCAAGGTCAAGCCGTGGACTGCTCTCACAGTCGACGAGTCAAGAGAATGATCTCACGGGTGACTCTTTACGTGACGCTATGTCACCATCGTTCGAAATTTTGAAGTTGACGCGTAGAGGGAGGGGGCTCACAGGTAGTCAAGGGTACCCAGGGGGACAATCTAAAAGTCACATGAGTCGACTCAGAAGTTGACGCGTAAAGGAGTGGGCTCACAGGCGATGCGATGTACAAGGAGTGGGCCATAGTTGACTCGATTGTCGGTCGTTTGAAGTTCGTGAGTGCTCTCACACTCAGCGAGTCAAAGGAGTCATCTCACTGATGCACTCAACTGATGCACTCATTCAAGAGTCGCATGCACAGGCGGCTCAAGAATCTCACCGAGTATTGAAACGCTTGTCCTATCGTCGTCGCTCACCAATAATGTAAGCGTTGCTTTAATTCACCGCTTACTACAAAACGACAAGCATACGCTCCTTTCCATCGATGCCCGTGGATTCCGGCATGGCGCGCCGAGCTCCTAGTGGCTCATTTCCGCCACCGTCACCGTCGCCGCCGCCGCTAGCTCGCGCGCAGCTGGAAGTTCTCTTGAGCGCGTTGGCCGTCGGAAGCGCCGCCGGTATCTCGTGGTGGCAGCTGATCAACGTGTCTCGCTCGCGCTCCGCGCTCCGATCCGCGCGCGAAACGACCATCCTTCAACTCAGTCGCTCGAAGGCGCCTCCCGACGACGCCAGGGGCAGCATCGGCGGTTCTAGCAGCAGCAGCAGCGGCGGGGGCACGAGCTCGCGCGAGTTGGTGGCTGTGAGGGGGTTCGTGCAGGCAGGCGGTCAGGCAGGCGGCCTTGGGTGGAAGCCTCCCCCTCCACTGCTGCCAGACCACGGGGTGAAGCAGCCGTGTGCCATTGTGGAGAGGACAGAGACGGTGAGTGATTGAGTTGAGGGACAGAGACGGTGAGTGCGAGTGGGAGACATGAATGTTAGAGGTGATTTGGCTTTCATATCCCAATCCTGCAGCGATTAGGCCTTGGGTGGAAGCCTTTCCCCCCGCTGCTGCCAGACCATGGGGTGAAGCAGCCATGTGTTATTGTGGAGAGGACAGAGGCGGTGAGTGTCGGAGGGGGTTCGTGCAGGCAGGCGGTCAGGCAGGCGGCCTTAGGTGGAGCCGCCCATCCACTGCTGCCAAACCACGGGGGGTGAAGCAGCCGTGTGCCATTGTGGAGAGGACAGAGGCGGTGAGCGTGGGAGGCGAAGGAAGAGATGAAGGTTAGAGGTGATTCGGGTTTCATATCCCAATCCTGCAGCAATCTGGCGGAAGCTTTCTCTCCCCGTCATGTCATGTGTCTCCTCCTCTCTGCTCCAGATCTTACAAACGGAAATGCATTTGTCGTATGGCTGGATCACCACCACGCCGAGCCAAACCATTCGTTCCCAGAAATCTGTGAGTTTTAAATAATTGGATGCGGGAAGGGGTTTGCTCGTTGACATTTGCATTGAGAGGGAGGGCAAATAGTTGGCTTGATAGCTTTTTGTGCTCTAATATTACTCTGCTCCGCTCCGCCCCACCATTCAGGTCTCCGTTTTCCCTCACTTGCTTCCTCTCTCCTCCCCAATTCTCCTCCCTCCTCTCCCTTGCCTGTTTACATATCCCCCTCTCTCTAGCAGACACCACCCACCCATTAGCGCCACGTGTTGACATCTCATTGATGGGCGCCACACAGCCCACCAATGAGATGTCAACACGTGGCGCTGATGGGTGCGTGTTGTCTGCTAGAGAGATAGAGACTTGAGAAAATGCAATGGAGATGAGGAGAATAGAGTGTATTCCGTTCAATCCACCATTCCGTTTTCTCTCGCTTTCTTCCCCTCTCTTCCCTTGCATCTCCACGACACCACTCGCCCATTAGCGTCACGTGTCGACATCTCGTTGGTTGGCGCCACACAGCCGTTGCCTTTGCACACCTTGTACAGTCACACACACAAGCCCAGCCCCTCATTAGGCGATGCTGCCTTGCACGTGCTTATAGGGAAGCGCCTGCCGGTGAGTGTACTCTTTATAAGCCTTCCACGTGTGTATAGAGAAGTACTTACACTTTCTTTGTACTCTCTATGCATGGGCTTATAGGGAAGCACTTGGTGAGGACAGGCCTCATGCTCCCTGCTGTTCCGTCCTGTGCCGCCTAGCCTTTGCCACGCCCTTCAATGGTTTTCGTGGATGGAACAGTAGGGAGCATGAGACATGGTTTTAGTCAACCTTGTCCTCCAACTGCTGCTCACGCCCTTCAATGCTTCTTGTTCTTCAGAACTTTGGTTGCTTTCTTGAGAAAAACTATTCTGTGGGTCGGGACTTGGTGGGCAGGGGCTCTTGTCGCATGCTTGGCTAACCAGTGGTTGGCTATGTTCATTTCTAGACCCACCATGCATGCTCATCTGCACAGGTCATTCTTGATTCCCTCCCTCACACGCTCTCTCTGGCGCTCCTTCCTTCCCACTCTTCCTTGCCCTATTTTTCCTGCCTTTCCCCGTTAAATCGCCATACATGGAAAGCACTGGTGTGAATTCAACAACCTTAACTTCTCCCCCCTGCCGCACTTCCCCACAGGACTCCCAGTTTCTCCGATAGCAACCTAATTGCTGGTTCCTCCCCCCCCGATTTCCAGATTCTCTGAAAGCAAAGCGGGCATGCTGCAGAAATTGGATCGGCAGTGCTGGTTGCTACTGGGGTGCTGCTTGCTGCTGTCTGCTGCTGCTGCGGGCATCGTTGGTTTTGCTGTTTGGAGGTGCGTGCATGTGGATGGGTGCATGCATGGGTGGACGGGTGGATGGATGGGTGCATGGGTGGATGGTTCATGGGTGATGGATGGATGGATGGATGGATGGTTGCATGGGCAGATGAGGGGATGGGTGTATGGGTGGATGGATAGGCGTATGGCTACGTGGGCATATTAGTGGATAGACGGGTGGAGGGATGGGTGAACGGGCAGACGGGAGAATGTGTGCATGGGTGGATGGGCTAGTGGGTGAAAAGGGGTTCATAGAGCTAGAGAGACTGGAAGAGTGAGGTCATCCTTCCTGGGAAGATTATTCTAGTCGCTTCTGATGATTTTCAAAACGGGGGAAAGGGTGCATGGGTGGATGTGCGAGTGAGTGAAATGGGGGTTCATATAGCTACAGAGGCTGAGAGAGTGAGGTTCATCCTTGCCTGGAAGATTATGCTAGTCTGGTAATGTGGACGCAACAAGAACTCAAGGAACTTCAAGGTGAAGGAACTGGCAGAGGCAGAGCACGTGCTGCTTGACTGTGCCAGGAGCTGAGGTTGTTCAGAATGGCCTCCCTCCTCTCCTTTCCTTTGGAGTTGGATATGGACAGGGGCAGTCGCAAGTACCTCAGCCCAGTGTCGGATAGGAGTGTGTGGAACCACTATCTGCTGCACAGGTGGGCACGACTCGAGGTTCATGGCGTGAGCTGGGGGGTAGTGTTGATGGTGAGCCAGTGTAGTATTTCAGGTGTCAATAGTAAGCTGACTTATCTCTTGGTCTCTTTGTGGAATGATTTTTGAATTGACTCAAAAATCGACAAGGTGAAAACAAAAGCTGAGCTGTCGCTTCGCATCACTTGTTTGTGAGAAGTTGAATGCTTGAAGTTGATTGTTTTACGTCACATTTCTGGTCACTCTATGGTGGTTCTTGCTCCTCCCTACTCTCCCTCACAATCTGCGTCTCCCCAGTGCGTGTCCCACCCTCTTTCGCATGCACCCATCCGCCACCACACACACACACCCACACCTACACACCGACGCACCCACCACACACTCACACCCACCCACAGTGTTCTGGTCCACACTGGCGACGCTGCCGATGGACAGTACCACGCCCTCGTTCGCCCAGACCTCACAGGCCAGTGGTGAGCTCGCCTGCATCGAGTGCCGATATTCGTGCTGCCTGTATTGATGTGTTCGTATTCTCTTCCTCATGCCTTCTCTTTAACTTATGATGGCCCTGACTTCTTTCTTGTTTTTATTACTAATTCTGTTGACCCAATTGGAAATATTTGAAATAATATGCCCTGTTTTGGCTCCGTTACCCGCTTTGGTCCCATTTGTTCTTTGCTGCTCCCCAAACGCCTGAGTCCATCTCTGCTTTCCATTATTCCACCCGCCTACCTATCAGGTACAAGTTTGATAGCGAGAAAGTGGTGAAGGTGGAGCAGTGTGTGGGAGAGGAAGAGGTAAGCCTCTGCAAAGGTAGAGAGGTTTCGAATCTGCAGGGTCCGCCACCACCCAAGGTAGAGAAATGAAGTCTTCCAGCAAATGCATTTGGATTTGCAACAACAGGATTACAAGATTAGCCCAATCCCGCTAGGAAATATCAGACACATCCATTAACAGGCTTCACTATTACAAGTTGCTATTCATGCTCTTCGACTCTACTCTCTCATGCCACCTCTTATCCTCCTTCCTCCCGCTTTCATCTCCCATGCATCCAACTCCTCTCGCTCCTTCCACCCTCACTCAGTACTCCAGCGCCTACATCCTGGTCTACATTCGGCGATCTGACCGGGAAAAGATTCTTTGCAGCGTGGACGAAAAAAACGTTGCGGAGCACGTGCGCGTGAGTGTGAGACTTTTGTAGAGTCAAGCATGCTCAGCTCAGCATGCGTTCTTTCAGCCTTTGGTTCTTCTTGACTTCAATTCTTCTTTTTAGTTTCTCCAATCCTCTTTCTCGTAGTGTTCCATATCCCTGCCCTGCCTGAAATATGCGTTGATTATTTCTGTGTTCAGTTCAGGCTTTGCCGCCGAATGATAGCAATTCTCCCGTTTCTGCTTCACCACTCTGATTTGATATGAGCTGACAGCGCCGCCATTTTTTATCAACCATGTGTGCACGCCATCTTCCTACTTCCAGGTTCGGTGGGAGCTGGAGCAGGAGGAGAAGGAGCAAAAGAGGAAGCAGCAGGCAGAAGCGCATGTTCTCACAGTCAAGGTGTCTCGAGACGAGGACATGCGAGAGCAGATCGGCCGGAACATGTACTTCGACCTGGTGGACCACGACAGAGTGAGGAGCTTCCGCGTGCAGAACGAGACGACCTTTGCGGAGTTCAAGGGGAAGGTCGAGAAGGAGCTGGGGACTGCGGTGGCAGGGCAACAGTTCTGGCTGTGGGTCAAAAGGCTGAATGACACGTATCGTCCGCACCGACTGCTGTCCGCAGAGGAGGAGCGCATGACGGTGAGAATGACGAGAGGAGGGGGGGGAGTGAAGGACTCTAGGAGGATAGGGAAGGAGACCATATGATGAGGTGAAGATGACGTTGTGTGAGAATAAATGGTGCGAGCAAGTGGCACTTGTGAGCGAAAAGCATGCAGATGAGAGGATGGTTTATGGTTCAATAGCTATACCAATGATTAAGTTGGTGAAATGGTACTGAATGGAAGGGGGCGTGAATATGCTGAGCTGAGAGGGTGATGTATAGGAATGGGGGGCATATAGCGGAATGAGTTAACGGGCACTGAAACAATCGCACATATTTGATTTTGCAACCCACTTGATGCTTTCAGAATCTGTCTAGCAATACATAGTGTCAGTGTATCCTGTGATTATATTTGAGTACGACGTGGGTAGAAATGTCTGTAGCGTCTTGGGCTAACATCTTATTATCAAAGGGCAGAGGCGTGAACTTTGCAAGTCTCCCAATGCTCCCTACCAACCAGGTTGGACAGCTTAGGGATTCGGTCAATGGAACTCTCAACACCATGCACCTCCACCTTTTCCTTGAAGGCACTTCCTCCACCATACCAGTAAGTCAACGACTTACTGCTGGCCTCCTTTCCTCCCATGTTTACATCCGAGTCCTTTTGCATGTTCAACTCCTTGTTGCAGGCAACATCATTTTTGAAGAATTCCAAGTCCTTTTCCAAGTCCTTTTGGCTGTCAATGTTGCGATGTCTAGAGTGTCTGTCCTTGATTAGTAGTTGTTTCTTACAATTCGTTGACTCGTCTGCCACTTTTCCTCCATCGCAGCTCAATGCAACACAGGATTTTTTTCCACCCTCCACCCCTTCCACGCCCCCTTTTAACACCTCCCTCTCTCTAAGCCCTTACTTCGTCCCCCTCGCGCACGTGCCGCCTTTTTTCCCCGTGGTTTCTCCCTCTTGTGAGGGTCAGTCATACTCACTCCCATCACTGATCTTCAGTATCACTACTGATTTAAGTGGCCGTGTTCTCCTTATTTAGCATCAGGAGCCTAGCATCAAAAGAGATTCTCGCTATGAGATGTCTCAAGCCACCAGCTTTTGTTTCCCCTTCTACTTCTCCTGAATCGACGCTGCCAGAGCTCTCCTCTGGCTTCTTCACTCGTGAGGGCCAAGAACGACATTCTGATCTTTCTGAAGCTTTACGACCCCGTGCTGAAAACCATTAGGTAAATGACAGGCGCAGAGTGGAAGGTCTCTTTTGACAGATGATGTTCCTGACCCAGTTGCGTTGTATTTTGCTTGAAGTGCTATTTTAGACTCTGCTGACCGTCTGTTCATGAATGGGCTTTGAGCATTTCATTAGCGTTCTATGGAGATGCAATAAGCCAATTTCCACCCTCTTCCTCTGTCGGTGTCTTTCCCCCCACTCCTCGTGGGAGTGTGTCTCTGTTCCTTTCCTTACCCTGCTCTCCCTATCTGCATTCTCACCCTCACAGGTACATGGGCCACTTGTTTGTGAGTCTCGACAATCGGCCCCAAGATGTGCAGGAAAGGATCAAGAAGATGTGTGGCCTTGCAAGCAGTCAGGACATACAGCTATTTGAGGTTTGGCCAGGCATGACATGGGACGAGAGAAGTGGGGGTGTTGCACGCAAACATATTCTGAGGAAATTGTGCATTGTGAACTCGAATGGGAATTGACTGACCGTGGGACACGTGTGAGAGATCCCCCTTCCCGTCTCCCATCCACCGTCTCTGCCATTTTGTACTTTCATCACTCTCTCTTTCCACCAATTGTAATCTCACCGTCTTTGTTCCCCCTTTTCCCCGTTCCCTGTCCGAATTACTTATATCCCTTACAGGAAGTAAAGTTTCATCCACATGTGATGTGTGAGCTCGTTGGCAAAACGGCCACGTTTCGAGCGAGCGAGCTGATGGATGGTGACATTCTGTGCGTGCAGAGGGCTCTCAGCCCGGAAGAGAAGGCGGGCTTGTTGTGCCCCGACGTGCCCTCCTTCCTCCAGCACGTGTCCACGCAGCAGCTTGTCCGGTTCAGACAACTGGACGCGCCCAAAGAAGACTCTCTCTGCCTTCTCCTGTGAGTTGCATGCATCTCTGATGTGCGGACAGACACGTGAAAAAAGGGTGGTTTTGAGACGTTCCTTCTCCTGTGAGTGGCATCTCTGATGTGCGGACAGAGCTGTCACCAGTGAAGAACCTGCCATGATTCAAATATGGCTTGTCCATCACTTGCGCTATGGGTGTCTGTTTGAATCATATTTCTGCTGGTGTCCTGGTTTCTGTTTGGGCCACCAGCATGCTTTCAGCGTATTCACGCCGAGCATCATTTTGGCGTCACTGGATTGAACGTGTGGTGTTCAGTGAGGTGACTGTTCAACCTTCTCTCTCAACTACCCCTTCATTGTCTTATGCAGGGCATGCATGCTGGAGTTGAAATAACTTAGCATTTGCTGGTCGTACATTCACTCATCCTCCCTCTCAAGAATTCCCCCCCATACGCCCTCATCTCCCCACTCAGTGAACCCTCTTCCGCTCCGCCCTCCTCACCACCTCTTCCTTTCCGCAGTTCCAAGCAGGACACCTATGACGATGTGGTCCGCGAGCTGGCAGAGAAGCTTGGGGTTTCCGACCCTGCTAGGATCCGCCTCACAGCGCACAACTGCTACTTGCAGCGGCCGAAGCAGTCGCCCGTCAAGTTCCGCGGCGTTGACTGCCTTGCAGACCTGCTTGCCTTCCATGACCAGGTGCCTAGACTAACTTAGTATTTGAAATATCCTCGCCAATAAACACAAGCACCCAGCTTTACAAATCCATGTGTGTGCTGCGCTTGAAATACTTCCTGTGGTCCGAACTGCACATGGTGGACCTTTCTTTCTCAAACATGTCTGGTGGTGAGCACGTCGGCTAGTTCCATTTGTCATCCCCTCCTCGCTTATCTTGCCTCTGATGCAGGAGGTTCACTGCTTGGTAGGTTGTCGGGTTCGTGTTGAAGTCTCGTCGCGTTCTCTCGTGCCTCAGCTTAGCCTCCTGCCTTGGTCGGCCCCCTCCCATGCTTCCTGTTTTCCACCCTCTCCTCCCTTTCCCAATAAACATTGTCGACCTTCGCGACATGGAACTCTATTTTTCTCCATGCCTCGCATTCTCCCTGAAACTCAGACAACAGATATTTTGTACTATGAAACACTAAACATCCCGCTGCCCAAGGCGGAGCGACTGAAGTCTCTTGGAGTTGTGTTTTCAAACAAAAGGGCAAGGAGGTGCGTTCCAGCAATCAGGTGGTGAACTGAAAGTGTTCACTTAATGTCAAGTGTGAAAATTGCTTTGATACTTATGGGTAAGAATCACCCAAACCTGTTGGGCAAGAACTAGACAGGTACTATAGCATTACTGATTTTTACACATTTTTCTTCCATTGTGCACGTGCAGGGAGCTTGGAAACTCTTGTGGACCGGGTGCTGAGGAGAATGTGAATTTTGTGGGAGGCAGTTCATGAATCTATGCCTGTTTGGGATCTTTTTATATACGGTAGTCTTGGTTGAGAGAAGAAGAGATTTCCTTGGTATAGAATAGGCCACAAGTACAGAGTCCTTGTGTGCATTTTAGGGTAACTTCTTGGAAAATTAACACAAAATCCCTTCCATATCAGCATGAAATTGAGAGTTTCATAGAATTTGTCACTGATTTGTACTGTAATTACTAGAATACGGTAGGAATTCCGAGAGGCTTGTTATTTGGCCCTTTGTTCGTTGGGACTTACCCTGATAATATCCTCATCACTATTCTTTTGAACAGCTCTGTAGAAGCACACTGCATTTGTCTCACTTGCTGAAATACACCAAAAGATCTCATCTCACGTACAATGCATTTGTCCCATCCATGCCCAGCCTCCCGTCCTGCTTCGGTGCTATCGCTCGCTGCCACATTCGTCCCACGAACAGGTACATCGGTATTTCGTTGTGTGTCATGTTACCTCGCACAATTGAAACAGCCACTAAGCTGTTTTGGCAGAGTAGTAGTAGTAGGAAGTGCTCTTAGGGGAATTTCAGAAAGATAGTAGCAAGATAGCTTTACAAGAGATCATATGATGGCTTACATTTCAGAGATATATCCTAATATACTAGGATACTAGCAAGGGCGCCTCGAGCAGGTCGCTCAGGTCGCCTATCATCTTTCTAGAGCTAAGGACAGCAAGGCATAGTCATTATGATTATGTACAAGACATACTAGCCTTGTTGTCATATCCTAGAACCAATAAGCATAGCCTAGGAATTCACTAAGGTAATGGGCAGAGATTATTTGTCTTGTTGTCGTCCATGGTGTCGTTGATAATGATGACCACGAGCTCTGTTGGAAGTAGCCATGGCTGTAGGAAAGTATGCTTGCTTGTGCTGTCAAATACTTTGCTGCGCTGTTGGAGTTCTCTGCCCAGTTGTGTCCAGCACTAGTAGTATGCTCTCTGGAGTTGTTCCCACGGTTGGAAACTCAGAATTACGAGCCGCACAATTCAATGTTGGATTCCAACATTGAATTCCCGAAATGTACTTAGGGTGTGTTCCGAATTCTGGTTCGGATCACAAGGAGCTGAGTTGGCGAAATCGAGGATGACGAGATCGCCTTCGTCTTGTTACATTACTCCCCTCTCCAGCAAGCACCGTCCTCGGTGCTTGAGCAGATGCAAGGTAGCTCTGAAGGACTCTCTGGGCATTCTGAAGGCTTGTCTCGGGTATCCAGAGGTTGTGAGAGGAGTCTTTCCCACGCCACTTAACAAGGAAGTAAGTGCCGCGAGGAGAGGTTTCATGGGACAGAATTTTCTCAACTTCAAAGAGATCAGGGTTAGATGTGAACATAGGAGGCCGAGGAGGCAGAGGTAAGAGGGGAAAGTGGGCTGGAGGAATGTGGTAAGGACGTAGGAGCTGAACGTGAAAAACAGGGTGTATGTTGATGTGTGGTGGAAGTTTCAAACGGTAGGTGAGAGGAGAGAGAACTTGGGTGATGGTGAAGGGGCCGATGAAACGAGGTGCAAGCTTACGAGTGAGACCTTTCTGCAGCAAGGGAAGGTTTGTGGTGGAGACAAGGACTTGGTCACCTACGTGGAACTGAATGTCACGACGGTGTTGATCGGCGTACCGGATCATTCGGTGTTGGGATTTGAGCAAGGAAGCGCGTGCTGCTGCAATGGTTTTTTCCCGAGTAGAGAGGAAGTCGGCTGCTGGTTTGGTGTCACTGCTGCGTACGAGAGAAGCTGGTGTGCGGGGCTGCTGCCCTGTAGCGAGGAAGAAAGGGGTTTGTCCCGTGGCGAGGTTCACCGTGTTGTTGTAGGAGAATTCGATCGATGGCAGGTGCTGGTCCCAATCGTTTTGCCGTGCACTCACGCATGCACGCAGGGCATCTTCAAGGGTTCGATTCATCCTCTCGGTCTGCCCATGGGACTGAGGATGGTAGGCAGTGGAGAGACGAATCTTGGTGCCCAATCTGTTGAAAAGGGACTGCCAAAATCTGCCAACAAACCGAGAATCACGGTCACTGATTAGTACGGAAGGAATGCCATGGAGACGTACCACCTCGTTGAAGAAGAGATCAGCGACGTTCTCAGCAGTAGCGGTGGTGGAGGTAGGGAGGAAGTGTGCCATCTTGCTCAGCTTGTCCACGACGGTGAGGATGGCGTTGTGATGGGAGGAGGTGCGAGGCAGATCTGTGATAAAGTCGAGTGTCACATGAGTCCATGGGAGCTGAGGGATTTCCAGAGGGTGTAGGAGGCCGTAGGGTGCAGCGTTGCGAGCTTTGTTGCACTGGCATGTGTGGCAGCTGCGTACGTAGGATCGGACATCTCGAGAGAGCTTGGGCCAGAAGAAGTTGGAAGAGATGGCAGCAAGCGTTTTGTCCACTCCGAAGTGCCCATTCTGGTCATGATGCTCGCGTAGCAGGAGGTGACGAAGCTTGCGCTCTGCGGGGACGCAGATGACTTGGGAATCTGCCTTATACCAAAAGGGGGATTCGTAGAAGACAGATTTATCATCAGCAGCAGAGTAGAGATAGAAACGGTCACGACGATACCCTTTGGTGAACTTCTTGATGAAACTTTCGTCCCATGTGACGCTTCCGATGGTGGTGAGCTGAGGTTGAGGAGGCCGGGTCAAGGAATCAGCAGGGTTGAGGCGGCCAGCGCGGTACTCGATTTTCAGCTCCGGTACGTACTGTTCCAGGTACTCCATCCATCGGGCCTGCCTCGGGGTGAGATGGGGTTGCGTCTTCAGGTATTGCAGGGTGCAGTGATCGGTAAGAACAGTGACGGGCTGCATGTGAACATAGCAGCGCCACTTCTTGATTGCATGGACGATGGCCAGCGCCTCGCGATCATGAGTAGCATAGTTGCACTCGGCAGGTTTCAGTTTCCGGGACTCGAAGGCGATAGGCTGAAGGCCATGCCCTTGATCTTGACAGAGAATTGCACCCGTTGCAACCTGAGACGCATCTGTCCATATCACGTAGGGTAGGGAGGGGTTGGGTAGGGCTAGAGTAGGAGAAGAGGTTAGTGCACACTTGAGAGCATTGAAGGCAGTTTGCTGGTCAGAGTCCCAATGGAATGGTTCAGTTTTGCGAAGAAGGTTGGATAGGGGAGAGGTGATGGCAGCAAAGTGTCGAATGAACTTGCGGTAGTAGTTGGCAAGACCAAGGAAGGCTTGCACTTCCTTGATAGAGGTTGGCTCCTTCCATTCCCTGATGGCGTTGACTTTGGAAGGGTCCATAGCAAGCTGGTTGTGTGAGATGATGTGGCCCAAGAAAGGAATCGAGGGCTTGGCAAACTCACACTTGCTCTGTTTGGCGAAGAGACGATGCTCACAAAGCCGTGTGAAGACTTGCCTTAGATGCTCGACGTGTTCCTTCAAGGATTTGCTATAAATCAGAATGTCATCGATGAAGATGATGACAAACCGGTCCAAGAAATCCCGAAAGACACTGTGCATCAAGGACATGAAGGTGGCAGGGGCATTCGTTAGTCCGAAAGGAAGCACGAGAAACTCGAAATGCCCATACCGTGTTCGAAAGGCGGTTTTCTCGATGTCTTCGTCAGCGACACGCACTTGATGGTAACCGCTTCGTAGGTCCAGCTTGCTGAAAATTGTGGCCTCACCAAGTTGATCAAAGAGTTCTTCCACTCGAGGTAGCGGGTAGCGATTCTTGACGGTGATTTTGTTGAGCACACGGTAGTCAACGCACATGCGCATGCTGCCATCTTTCTTTTTGACGAAGAGAATCGGTGCTGCATAGGGAGAGGAGCTGACGCGGATGAAGCCCTTCTCAAGAAGCTCCTCCAACTGCTTCTGAACTTCTTTCAGCTCGGCAGCGCTCATCCGGTACGTAGCGCGAACGGTAGGTTCAGCACCGGGTTGTAAGATGATGCGGTGATCGATGGCACGCTTTGGAGGGAGTGAAGAGGGAAGATCAGCAGGGAAGATGTCTTTGAACTCATTGACAACCTGTTGAATTTCAGAAGGGATTTCAGCAGCCTTGGGAGGGGAAGGAAGAATAGGAGTTTCTGAAATTTGATTCAAAAAACAGAGGAAGAATTGAGAGTTTGGGTCATTGAGAGATTTTTTCAGCTGCCGTTTCGAGAGGATGTTGCAGCAAGTAGAGGTAGAGGAGGAGGAGGAGAAGGTAGGTAAGGTGATATCTCTTCCAGAGTGAGAGATGGTGACGGTTCCAAGAGTCCAATCAATCTTGGGGTTTTTTAAGGAAAGCCAGTCACGTCCAAGAATCACTTCATGGTCTCCGAGAGATGCTTGCTGAAACTGAATCTTGTCTCTGTAAGGTCCGATTGTACATGAAACAGGGAATGGTACTTGTCCACATGAAATCGAGGTTCCGTTCGCCATCAACACTGTTTGAGGTATGGAATCAGATTGAGTTGGAAGAGAAAGCTTGGAGAGTAGAGAGGAGGAGATGAAGTTAGAAGAAGCACCACTGTCAACTAGAGCTTTCACTCTCTGACCACGAATCAGCATGGAAAGGAGAAGGGGTTCAGAGGGGTTACGACTTTCAAGGGAAGAGATGGTGGGGCAGGCATAGTCACCAGAAAGTTGCCCCGAGTTTACTGGCGACTTGAGTTTCCCGGCGTTGGAAGGATGGGAGGCTGATTGGTGCGTTGGCGGCAGACCTTCCACACGTGCCCTTTCTTGCCGCACTTGTAGCACACGATGGCTGGCCTCGGGTTTCTCTTTCTCTTCTCCATCAGGTCCAGGTCCATAGGAGCAGATTCTTGAAGATTGGAGTCAGTTGGAGTAGAGGGCTGGTAGGAGGGAGCAAACGGGAGGAACGGGCTACGAGGAAAGCGAGGCTTGTTGTATGCGTAATGGACAGAATCATACCGTTCAGCCACGCGTATCATTTCCTCGAGCGTAGAGCAGTCCCTCAGCTCGACCTCCATGCGCACGTTTGTTTTCAGCCCGCGCTTGAAACGATCCATCCGCTCAGCATCGGAAAGGTCCGGGATCTCTTGAGCGATGTCACGGAAGCGAGAAGCGTAATCTTGAACAGATTTGAGTTGCTTCAGAGCAGCCAAGGCGTCTCGTGCTCTGATGTTCGGGTTCACCGGTTGGAAGGTTGCAGTGAAGATCAGCTTGAATTGTTCCCATGATTGGATGGTCGCATGCACGGATTGCCACCAGGTGATTGCAGATCCACGAAGAAGGGTGCCGGTGAAAGCAGTCCACTCGGCAGGTAGTATGTGACTCAGGAGCAGGAATTGCTCAACAAGAAAGAGCCAACGGCTCACGACTGGTTGGTTTCTCCCGGGAAAGAAAAAATCAGGAAGGGCGGGTCTAGCGCGCTGATTTCCGTCTGGCGGTGCAGCAGGGCTCGAGTTTGCTGCCACCACTCCAGCTGCAGCTACACTAGCTTGCATCTCTGCTTGCAAGCTCTCTCTAACTTCAGCAACAATTTGGGCACGGTACGTTTGCAAGTAGGTGGCCCATTCATCACGAGAAGGTACCTTACTAGTCGTCATGACGCTGTTCTCAAGAAAAGGAGGATCGAAGATAGCTCGGATACCAAATGAAACAGCCACTAAGCTGTTTTGGCAGAGTAGTAGTAGTAGGAAGTGCTCTTAGGGGAATTTCAGAAAGATAGTAGCAAGATAGCTTTACAAGAGATCATATGATGGCTTACATTTCAGAGATATATCCTAATATACTAGGATACTAGCAAGGGCGCCTCGAGCAGGTCGCTCAGGTCGCCTATCATCTTTCTAGAGCTAAGGACAGCAAGGCATAGTCATTATGATTATGTACAAGACATACTAGTAGCCTTGTTGTCATATCCTAGAACCAATAAGCATAGCCTAGGAATTCACTAAGGTAATGGGCAGAGATTATTTGTCTTGTTGTCGTCCATGGTGTCGTTGATAATGATGACCACGAGCTCTGTTGGAAGTAGCCATGGCTGTAGGAAAGTATGCTTGCTTGTGCTGTCAAATACTTTGCTGCGCTGTTGGAGTCCCAGTTGTGTCCAGCACTAGTAGTATGCTCTCTGGAGTTGTTCCCAGGGTTGGAAACTCAGAATTACGAGCCGCACAATTCAATGTTGGATTCCAACATTGAATTCCCGAAATGTACTTAGGGTGTGTTCCGAATTCTGGTTCGGATCACAAGGAGCTGAGTTGGCGAAATCGAGGATGACGAGATCGCCTTCGTCTTGTTACAACAATACTCCTTCTCGCGACTGAGACGTCCTTCCTGCTATTTGTACTTCTCTCGGCCGCTATAGCGCCGCGCTTGCGGCACCGGAATCCTCGAGTCGCGGCGCGGACAATGACGGGCCCATATTCCAGGGCTGTCGCCGTCATCGCACGGCACTCGCGCCATTGCCACCGCTCGGCAATCCCAAGGCGACTGGCCGTGTTCACGTCGTCGTCACGGTCAGAGCGGCCTGCTCTTTCTTTCGTCGTACCCAGATCCCCCGTCCCATCCACGGTGATTCTTCGAGTGACTCAGCGTCTACACCACTCGGAATTCCACTTCGTGTGTCTCAGATTCTCCAAACCTTGTCGACTAAGGCGCACGAATCCTCACAGAGGCACACACGTCCCCGCCTCATACGAGTCATCAGCACAGAGTACTCAAGATGTCTCACACGCGTGGAAGAGTCGACGCTCCTGTTGCATCGTCGTCTCGCACCAGTTCCATAAGCGGTTTCTGAGAACTCCACCCAAATCCGTCCCCATCGTCGGTCGTATGAGGGAACGATCTGAGATCTCCACCAGACCCGCTCTACGAAACGTGAATTCGACGACCTGTCCCATCGTCGTTCCGCGCCAATGCCTTCATCTAGCGGCGGGAGTACTGGCGCGTCAGATGGCAGTGCTGCTTCTACTAGCGCGCCGCCGCCGCCGCCTGCTCGCGCGATTCTCGCGCAGCAGCAGGAGGTAATCGTCGGCGATTCTCGCTCGGTTTTCGCGCAGAAAGAGACGGTCGTCGGCGCGTTGGCCGTCGGTACTAACGCCGCGGCGGTGACCGTAGGGAGCGCGGCGGTGGCGTGGTGGCAGCTGGTCGACTTGTCTCGCTCGCTCTTTGCGTTCCGATCCGCGCGCGAAACGACCATCGCGGAGCTCAGTCGCGAGAAGCCGCGTGTTGATGCCGGTGGCGGTGGCTCTAGCGGCAGCGATGGCGGTGGTGGTGGTTCTAGCAGCAGCAGCGGCGGTGTTTTCACCAGGAGCAGCGGCGGCGGTGGTTCCAGCAGCAGCAGCAGCAGCGGTCCTGGATTGGGTTGGCTGCTGCACGCAGGTAGCAGCAACAGCAGCAGCAGCAGCGGCAGCAGCGGCGCCGGATCGAAGTGGCTGCTTCATGCAAGTAGCAGCAGTGTTAGAGCTCCTCTGGAGAACCTCCCAAGTTCAAGCATCAACTCAATGGTTGCGGCACCGGCGCCCCACGAGTTGGTGGCGGTGAGAGGGCTCGTGCAGGCATCAGGGTCTGGGCATCATGGCTGGGGGAGGCCTGCCTTCCATGTGCCAATCCTGCAACGATTCGGCCTTGGGTGGAGGCCCGGTCAGATAGGCGGCCTTGGGTGGAGGCCCGATCCCCGTGGTCTCCCCCTGCTGTCAGACCACGGCGGGCGGCAGCCGTGTGCGATCGTGGAGAGGTCTGAGACGGTGAGTGGGAAAGAGAGTGAGTGAGTGGGAGAGAGAGGGAGAGAGTGAGCGAGTGGGAGAGGGAGAGAGTGAGTGAGTGGGAGAGGGAGAGTGAGCGAGTGGGATAGGGAGAGAGTGAGCGGGTGGGAGAGGGGGAGAGTGAGCGAGAGAGAGCGAGAGAGTCCGGGTTGTTAAGTTTGTTGTTTGTTTGCCAGGTGCTGTGTGTATCACCAATGCATGCTTGTACCAATAGGCATATATCAATACATGGGCCGTTTGAGAGAGATGGAGGGGAAAGGCAAAGGGAAGGAAACCGTTGAGCAATCGAGGGAGAGTATGGAGACGGTGAGTGTGGAGAGACGTAAAGGGAGAGGCAATCGTTGAGGTTGTTGAGGCACCTAAAACATGGCCTTTTCGATCGTGAAGGAGAGGACGGTTCCCCCACTCCCCACTCCCTCCCCAGGCTTCCCCAATCCCCATAGGACATCCTGGGTTGATCCAATTCAGATCATACAGGATTGACCTTGCAGATTTTTTTCAAAAGTCAGCTTTCCACGGGACAACCTTGTTGTCAACCTCCCACTCCTACCTGCACCCCTGCCTCCCCTTCTCCCTCCTTCCCCTCCTACCGTCCTCCTCCCTCTCCTCCCATCCATCTTCTCTTCGCAGCTCTTAATCGTCGTTACCCTCCCCCACCTTACTGGCCCAATCACATTCCACGTCGGATCTGCGGCATTCCAAGCTACCGCTGCGTGTAGGAGATTCTCTGTGCCTTGGAACCCCCTCCTCCGTTTTCCCGTCACATGCCCCCTTACTCCCGCTCTTGCCCTCTCCTGTGCCCCCTCACTTGCGCTCTCCTTAGCCCCCTCCCTCGCCCCCTTCCTTCCTCCCCTCCGTTGACCCCCATGCGACTGCCCTCCTCGCTGCCCCGTGACCCCTTGACCCTCCGTGACGCCCGTCACACAGATTCTGCAGACAAAGCTCCGGTATGGCTGGGTCACTGGACCAGATAGTTACGGCAGCATCCTCGTCCCGAATTCTGTGAGTCTCGAAATTTCCAAAACTGTGGGAAGGGATTTGCCCTTGCTGCGCATTCTGCTGCAGTTCTTGTTCATTCCCACTGACTGATTGTTGTTGCTTGTTTGCTTCCTTTTCTTTTCTTGTGACGTTAGCCCCCCTTGTACCTTGCTTTCACCCCATTTCTCTCTTCCTGGTTCCTCCTCTCAGCCCTCTTCTCCGTTTTCCCTCTCTTCCTCCCTCTCTCTCACCCTGGTTCCTTTCCCTCTCCTCGTCCTCTTCCCCGTCACCACTTCTTAGGTCCCCTTCTTTCTAGCACACACCTCCCACCCATCAGCGCCACATGTCAACGTCTCACTGGAGGGCGCCACACAGCCCCTGCCGCTGCACACCGTGTATAGTCACATGCACAGACCCACCCTTTTTGGGCCGACGCCGCCCTGCATGTGCTTAAAGGGAAGGGCCTTAGGCACCCAATAAGGGGTTGGCCTTTTGCATGTGACTGTATGCGGTGTGCAGCGGCAGGGGCTGTGTGGCGCCCTCCAGTGAGATGTTGACGTGTGGCGCTGATGGGTGGGAGGTGTATGCTACACTCATGCTAGAAAATGAATGAATGAATGCCTCTCCACATATACACCTTCCCCAGGTCGGCCTGCACCTGAATGAGTGAATGATATATGAATGGATGAATGAATAAAGCAGGAATGAATGGGTGCCTTTCCACACATATACCTTCCCCAGGTCGGAATGGAGAATGGTGTTGCTTGTTGAGTATCGCCAATTCACGCATGAATGAATGAGTGAATGGTTGAGGACCACTCCACACCACACATACACCTTCCCCAGGTCTGCCTGCACACGCATGGACAAGGGGGTGCTCTGGCCGTCTCCTTATCTTATCTCCACCTGCCTTGCATGTTCATCTGCACACACCACTCATGACCCCCCTCCCACCACTCATCACCCTCTCCCACCACACACGACCCGCTCCCACCACTCATCACCCCCTCCCACCACTCATCACCCCCTCCCACCAGCCGGTCCTGCGCAAGGACGAGAGGGCGCTGCCGATCAATCATGAGATGACAGTTGTCGGCCATGTGAGACTTGGATCCGACGGTCGACCCGCGATCATCGCTTCCCCGAAACTTCCTTACTTCCTGTGAGTGGCTGCCTTCCTATATTATGGGGCACCCCTCTTTCTAAGATCCCTTATTTTCCCACAACTCCCTGCTTCCTGTGCGTGCTTACTCTCTATCATAATACCCCCTACTTCCTCTGAGTAATGAGGTTCCCGCTCTCTTCTCCTCTCTTCTCCTCTCGTCTCCTCTCGTCTCCTCTCCTCTCCTTTCTTCTCCTCTCCTCTCCTCTCCTCTCCTCTCCTCTCCTCTCCTCTCCTCTCCCTCTCATCCCCTCACCTGATGTCATCTCGTCTCACTAATTCCTATACAATTCTCCCCTCCCCTCCCCTTGTGCGCTACCAGGCCAAATCGTCGCCAGCAATCCAGGCAGCAGGAGCAGGAGCGGCAGCAGCAGCAGCAGCAGCAGCAGCAGCAGCAGCAGCAGCAGCAGCAGCAGCAGCAGCAGCAGCAGCAGCAGCAGCAGCAGCAGCAGCAGCAGCAGCAGCAGCAGCAGCAACAGCAGCAGCAGCAGCAGCAGCAGCAGCAGCAGCAGCAGGGGGGGCAGCAGCAGCAGCAGGCAGAGAAGGAAGAGTTGGAAAGGAGGATGATAATATTTCTGGAAAGGCCGCGACAGACTGCAATGGAAGGAGCAGTGACAGTGGCAGGAGCAGTGGCAGTGGCAGGAGCAGTGGCAGTGGCAAGAGCAGTGGCAATGGCAGGAGCAGTGGCAGTGGCAGGAGCAGTGGCAGTGTCAAGTGCAGTGACAGTGGCTGGAGTAGTGGCAGTGGCAGGAGCAGTGGCAGTGGCAAGAGCAGTGGCAGTGGCAGGAGCAGTGGCAATGGCAGGAGCAGGAGCAGTGGCAGTGGCAGGAGCAGTGGCAGTGGCAGGAGCAGTGGCAGTGGTAGGAGCAGTGGCAGTGGCAGGAGCAGTGGCAGTGCCAGGAGCAGTGGCAGTGGTAGGAGCAGTGGTAGTGGCAGGAGCAGTGGCAGTGGCAGGAGCAGTGGCAGTGGCAGGAGCAGTGGCAGTGGCAGGAGCAGTGGCAGTGCCGGGAGCAGTGGCAGTGGCGGGAGCAGTGGCAGTGGCAGGTGCAGTGGCAGTGGAAAGAGCAGTGGTAGGAGCAGGAGCAGGAGTAGGAGCAGAAGGAGCAGGAGTAGGGGCAGGTGCAGGGGTAGCAGCAGGAGCAGGAGCAAGAGTAGTGGCAGGAGCAGAAGAAGGAGCAGAAGCAGGAGCAGGAGCAGGGGCAGGAGCAAGGGCAGTGACAGGAGCAGGAAGAGAAACTACTGGACGACGACGGGTGGGGGCACAAGGAGGCATGATCCATGCCGCACATGTCAGGGCAGTAGCAGCCTCAACCCTGGAGCTAGAGAGGAGGTTGACACATCTGAGATGCAGCGGAGATGCAGATGAGGAGGTGGGGGTGGAAGAGGAGGTGCAGATGGGGAGCTCTGTGTGGTGTGTCTGCATCGCAAGCGCAAGGCGGTGTTCATTCCGTGTGGCCACCGTGTGTGTTGCCTGTCGTGTTCGAAGGTTGTTAGGGAGGAAAAACCGCAGTGTCCCATTTGCTGCGGGCAGGTTCTGGCCGCGTTTCGAGTGTACGATGCTTGAGATACCAGTACGCAGGTACGGTAGGTAGTGCCAAAACATAGATTGGGAGAAGAACAAATGTTAAGTGGGTTGGTCTTGAATGGTGCAAGTTAAGTAGCCAACTCCTTAGGAGGCCAGTCACACCAACAGTTGTCTGGAGCACACCGCCACCTGCATGCCCATGCTTGGGGCTCCTGCTGGCGCTGCTGCTGCTGGCGCAGCTGCTGTTGCTTCCACGCCTGCGGCCTTGCTCATCAGTCCCATACCTGCTGCTGGCGCTGCTGTTCCCGTGCCTGTGCCCTTGCCCATTTTGGGTTACTACTTGGGGTTGATATGCCCCCAGGAGACATGAATGGGTTTGTGAGATGTAAAAATTTTTAAAGATAAAAAATTTGAGGATTGTGATTCGACTAGTAGAGGAGTTTGCTGTAAAGGAGACAAACTCCTTGACATTCCTGCAGGTCTCTCAGACCTGCCACCTAGTCTCATTTGCATTTTCCAGATCTTGATTTGCTTACCACCAGCACACTCTCTAAACCCTTCTACCTCCTATGCCTAGGACTAGGCATAGGAGCACTTTTATTTCTGACGTTTTAAACGTCAGGCTTTCTGCTATGGCGAGTGGCTTCGTTTCCGCTGCAGCGGGAAGACCTCCTGCTCCAAGAATGGTTACACGGAGCAGTGGCAGGCGTGTCTCCCCGCAACGTGAGGAAGATGGGGCATCTTCTTCCCACCGTGAGCGTTCTCGATCTCCAAGAAGAACCGGCGGAAATGCGACTGTTACTGCATTGGAGCTGCTGAACAGTGCGCGTCAAACTTCTGTTCGCGCGTCTGTTGTCATCCCCGACGGAACAAATCGGAATGGTGGTAACGACCGCGGCCCCCCCGGGTTTCACGGCGAAGGGCGAGCCCCACGTGCAACCGGCGAACAACTTGAGCATGGCGAAAACGCCCCAGCGCGGCCGGCCACTGCAACTCAGGCGCAGGACCGTAATGATCGCGGTCCTGCGCCGGCAGATCGCAATCATCGCGAATCTGCCCGAGCAGATCGCAATCAGCGCGATTCTGCTCGGGCAGATCGCGATCGCGATTCTGCACGTGCAGATCGCGAGCGAGATTCTGCACGTGCAGATCGCGAGAATCTGCGGACGGAGCGTCAGAATCGAGACCAGGCGCGTGACGACCGTCGCCCCGATTCTACAAATCGTCGCGCGAATCAGGGCGAGCAGCAGGATCCGCGCAATCAGCAGGGGATCGCGGAAATCGCCGACATCATTGCTCGCCTTGACCCCGCCAGCCAGCAGAATCTGAGGCGAATTTTCGCTGAAACTGCAGGCGAACGCGTTACAGCAAGATCCAGCGCATCTACGGAGCGGCGCACTGCAGAAATCAATTCCGCACGTTATACTCAAGTTAATATTGGAGCGGAAGCGAACAACAACGAGGCGATTCGGCATGCTCTCGGTCTTCTTGCGGCGCTTCAACGCAACAGCACCGGCGACCCGGCGACAGCGCCTGAAAATGCTCGTCCAGCGGCTGCAGCAGCACCTCGTCCTCGTGCTCCTCCTCCTCTCAATCACGAGCGCGACGACGACGACGACCGCGCAAACGCCGAGAACCTCGACGAAGGTAATACCATTCGACTCAAACCCAGCGCTGCGCCTATCAACCTTGCCCCCATCCCTCCCGCGCGCCCTCAGCTGTGTTCCTCCCTTGTTAAAAGTGACGGCATTCGCACTCAACTCTTTAGTTTCGAGCGCATTCAAGCGATTGCACAACACGCTATTTCCATTTTACCCTCTCCCGGCGGCGAGCAACTTGGCGACTACCTGCAGCAGATTGTTGATGAAACGGAAGAAAAGATTCATTTTTTATTTACCGCGGATCAACGCGGTTTTGAGGTGGCCAATATGGCCTTAAAGATTAAATATGGCGAGGTGGTGGAGGATAAGAATGTCAAGGCCGCCACACAGATTGTAGCGGCAAGCAAAAAGAGGCCTCACCGGCCCACCACCTCCTCTCGCCCCAACCCCACGCCTCGCAACCGCGGCCAAGGGGAACGCCATTGGACTTGGCGTAGGGACGGCGATGGGCGGTGCTTTTATTGCCGCGAGCCGGGCCACGGAATAGCCGATTGCCCACAACGGGGCCAAGGGGCTAATCAACCCTCTAAGATTGTTTAGTATTGAGGTTTGTCAAAGAGACCGTTGTTATGTTATCACTACAATGAAATACCTTCAAAAAAAAAAAAAAAAATCCCTTACAAGGATATAGTTTCTATTATCCTCAGAAGCATATGGGGATAACACACCCCACAAAAAAAAAAAAAAAACAAAAAAAAAACACACACACACCCACACAAGAAAAGAGACATGAGATCAAAGAAAAGGGGAGTAGAGGTTCTCAAACTCAAAAAAAAAAAAAAAAAAAAAAAAAAAAAAAAGAGGGGTTTCCACTACAGTTGAAGGTGTGCGGTACGACCCCTTCAAGCTCGCGCCGAGACGAAGCACCCGGAGAACCTCCAGGCTCAGCACCGCCAGACGCCACACGAGCAGGCCCAGCTCCCTCAGGCTCCGCACCCCCAGGCTCAGCACCTCCAGGCGTAGCACCCCCAGGCTCAGCACCCCCAGGCGTAGCACCCCCAGGCTCAGCACCCCCAGGCTCAGCACCCCCAGTAGCAGCACCCCCAGGCTCAGCACCCCCAGGCTCAGCACCCCCAGTAGTAGCACCCTCAGGCTCAGCACCCCCAGGCGTAGCACCCACACGCTCAGCACCCCCAGAGTCAGCACCCCCAGGCTCAGCACCCTCAGCAGCACCAGAGTCACCAGTAACCTCGACAGGCTCGACTGCGTCTACCTGGGACACACCTGAAGGGGCAGGACCCTGAGGGGGGAGGGGGTCTACCGGGGGGGGACCTGGCACAAGGAAGAGCGGTGGCGGGGGGAGGGACGGAGTGCGGTAGGGGAAGAGGCGGTAGTAGGGGACCGACTCGTCAAACGTGACGTCCTGGGAGGACAGAACACGGCGAGAGGTGGGGTGGTAGAACTGCCACCCTGGCGCGTCAGGGGGGAAGCTAAGGAAGACGCAAGGAGCAGCACGAGGGGACAGCTTGTCCGCAGACAAGTCGCGGACAAACGCCCGAGATCCCCAGACACGGAACGCAGACGCATCGCCAACCTTCCCCGTCCACAGCAAAGCTGGGGAGGTCTCCAGCATGGAGACCCTGGGGTGAAGGTTGATCTGATGCGCCGCGTACCGAACCGCAAACGGCCACAGAAAATGGGGGGCAGCCGCATGCATCATGGACGTACGGGCGACGTCCATGACCATGCCAATGCGGCGCTCAGCAATCCCATTTTGCTGTGGAGAGTCCGGAAGCGTGAATGTCTGGCGGATGCCTCGTGCACGACAGTAGGCTCGCAGAAGGCCAGAGGAGAACTCTCCACCTCTGTCAGAGTGCAGACGCAGAACAGGAAAGTCCGAGCCGAAGCTCTGCCTGAGCTGGAGACGAGCTGCGCGGATCCAGTCGATCAACACCTCAGTGACATCACCCTTGCTGCGCAAGGGGAAGACCGTGGTGTAACGCGAGTAGTCGTCAACCACCAGCAGGAAGTAGCGCTCGTGACCCTGTCCACGGACGCGGGCCGGGCCCCACACGTCCATGTGAAGCGTCTGCAGCGGGGCCTCTGTCGGAGGAAACTGGGAGGAGTGAGGGGCAGCCCGCTGCCGCCCCTCGACACAAGGGACGCAGGTAGGGCCGGGCCCCGGAGGAAGGGGAGGGAGGGACCGGGGAAGACCAGAGACAAGGACACGGGAGGCCATGCCTCGGAGACGAAGCAGGGAGGGGTGACCAAGGCGGTGGTGCCAGAGGAGAGTCTCGTGCGACAGGAGGCGACACGAACAGGGGGCAGACTCAGGACCAGACCTGGACGCTGCAGCAAACACCTGACCCGACGCAGCTACCTGACCAGACGCAGTGACTGGAGGAGACGCAGTGGTCAGTGTGTACAGGCTCGACCCCGGCCGACGTGTAAACGTGGCCAGGTGTCGGCCTGTCCGAGCGTCCGTGCAGTGGGTCACCCGCTGACTCGCAGGAGTGAACTGGTGAACCCCCGCATCCTGTAGGTCAGCACCACTCACCAAGTTCGTAGAGAACGAGGGGAGGTAAAGACCAGACAGGGTGCCAGAGGGGGCCGCCGGACACGGGAGGACAGTGGAGAAGTGAGCAAGGACAGGACCCCCAGAGGGGTCTGCCAGAGAGACTGCAACTGGCCGGCCAAGCGGCGTGAGTGTGGTGCGGTCTCGAAAGAAGGAGCGAGAAGCCCCCGAGTCAAGGGTGAAGGTGTGGGAGGCCGAAGCCGACGCAGTACCTGAGAGAGCAGACTCACCAGCACCTGAGTGAGCAGACGCACGAGCACCTAGAGCAGCAGCCTCGCTAGCACCTAGAGCAGCAGCCTCACTAGTACCTAGAGCAGCAGTCTCAATGCCCGGGTCGGGCGGAAAACACCGGTAACAGTCACCCTCATCACTAATAGTCACAGCATACATGGCAGCAAGAATAGCATCAAAGTCAAGGTCAAAGACAGCTACACCCGCCCTAGACAGCTCGCCCCAGCGGGGGATCTCAGTGGCCTCAGGGAACTGGTGACACCAAGCGTCCGTCAGGCGGCCAAAGCAGCGCTGGGTGGAGTGCGCACCCCCGCACTGCTCACCCGCGCGGTCGCCGGTGCGTAGGACGTAGGTGCACGGACCAGTACCCCCACCCCGCTGGCGTGCAGCGTACCACTCACGGAGCTGCTGAGGGGGGGGGATGTCGCGAGTGCGCTGCTGCCGCTGCTGCTGCTGCTGCTGGCGCTGACCACCACCGGAGCCGACCCTCTGCCCAGCGCCACCCCGACCAGCTCCACCTCCTCCGCCGCCGCCTCCTCCACCGCCGCCACCTCCGCCACCTCCGCTCCCACCGCCACCGCCGCCGCCGCCTCCGCCTCCACTGCCGCCACCGACACCTCCACCCCCGCCACCACTCCCACCACCACCCCCACCCCCTCCACTGCCGCCACCGCTACCTCCGCCACCCCCGCCAGCCCCTCCAGCACCCTTGCCCCCCTTGCCCTTGCCGGTGCGGCGTCTCCCGCTCGGGGCAGACGCAGCGCCGACCGACTCGAGACCAACGAGGTCGGCCGCAGCAGCAGAGGCAACAGAGGGCAAAAGAGGGGAGGGGGAACACCCCTCAAAGATGGGGGTGCGAGGGTCACCACGAGAGGCTCCTACAGCTACTATGCTCTTTTCTGCTGCTAGGAGGGCCTTCTCGAGGAGGTCAACGGTGAGAGTGGTGGGGCAAACTGAGAGGAA